ATAACCAATATGTTCGCTCCATGTGACTGAAAAAAAGTACGCGAACAAAAAGAAAAGCACATCATTCTTTCAAAACTTCAATTTCTTTCTTCCAGCGTCTTTTAACTGATTTTTTTTTCTTTTTTTTTGATCAACGAACACTTATAACAGATCTATACATGCATATGTGCAACTTATTCTTATTGTAAGAAAAAAAATGTACTTCCATAAGATTGCATTTTTATTGTGAATAATATAATTTTTTTTTGTTTAGATTTTGCATATGAAATAATATGCGACGTATTTCATTACGCTCAGTTTTTTCGACTATTGCATTATCAGTTTGTTTTCTTGTATTAATATTTCTTTTTACTAATTTAAATAATCATTCAAATGATACAGAATTTCCACAAGTGAAATGTGATTGTCCAAAAGTGGTACAATCTGCTTCAAAAACAGAACAATCTGCTTCAAAAACAGAACAATCAACTGTTCCAAAAACAGAAGTACCAGCTGCTCCGAAAATAGATGTAGCAACTAGTCCTCCAACTGTACAACCATTGCCTCCTTGTAAACAAGTTGAAAATGATTCACCTGTACAACGAGCAATTCTTATTTATTATCCACATCATCAAAGTGAATATTTTTTTCCAGAAGTCAGATGGTATGTATAAAACATAGATTAGATGGAGAAAATACTCAGAAAATAAAAAATGATTTTTTATTATTCTATGAGTATATTCACGTTGATTATAAATAGACTATCAAATTCTTGTTGTTTTTCTCTATTTAGGTTATATCGTTCCTGGGCTGAAATGTTACGTGATCAACCATCGAAATGGCGCACAGATTTTCTTATATTTACATATAATTTTTCAGCTGAATTTCGAAGTCTTGGTTGTATTAGTCGTATTCGTCAAAATAAAGAAGAACCATCTGTATGTCGTCTGTTTCTCTATGTTCCTATTCAATTTCGAACAAAAAATGTGACTGATAATAATTTTCAATATGCATTTGAGCATGCAAAAAATTTAGCAAAAATTTATAATGAGACTTTGGAAGAAATGGTTACTCTACCTAAAACAAATGATCAAAAAACATATGATGCTAAACGTTCAGAATTATTGTATGCAGTTCTTCGAGCATATGGATATATTGATTCAATTAATACAATATATGAAGGTTATAATACGTTTAATATGTATGATTTTGTTTTGAGAACTGATATTGGTAAAAAAAATGATTTATTAAATGTTGAGATGTAAAAACAAAACAAAAAAGAAAATTTTATTTAGATGTTTTTATTTATCGTCATTTTGCAAAATATATTCCACAAAATTGTACCCTACTAACTGGTGGTGGTGGATATGGAACAGATTTTAATCGAAGAAAATTACGACGTATTGCACGTGATATGGATTTTTCACATATTGGTTTATCAGGCATGGGTTCAACATGGTTCGTTTTATATATATTTTGTAATAGATTAGAATTAAATTTTTTTTGTTCTTTGTATTTTTAGGTATGGGTCACCTCATGATGGATATTTAGTTGCTAATCAAACATTACATGCAATGCTTTGGTTAGCACAATATGAATTTGCTATGCCTGAACGAGAATCAAAACTGGGTACATTAATGTGGCCAGAATGGTAAATTTGTTTTCAACAAATAGACTAAGAAAGAAATCTATATGACTCGATTCATAGTATATCATCAAGAGTGTAATAAGAAAAAAGTCATCAAAACTTTTGAATGTTTTTCAAATTTATTTATTAAGTTACCGTAGATTTTGTCAAGTAATTATTGACTTTTCGAGTGAGAAACTTTTATTGTGAGATAATATTTAAATTTATTGAACAAAAATTGGTTATATTAAGTTTTCCGAATAATTGATCAAAACGTTGCGATAAAGAGTGTCCTATAATAACTGAGAATAAATGGTCAACAACATTTTTCATATTTTTTCTTGACGTCGAAGACTGATCTTTAATTTTCCAAGGTTTAAGCACTCTAGCTAAAACTAGTTCCGAAATGCATGAACGAAATTAAAAGACATGAATTTTCGTACTTGATTTTGGTAACATTTATAAACATCTGATGGAAAGAAATTTTTTCAAAACGTAAATTATAATCAAATTCAATGTGAATGAACATACTTTCCATCGCTACCTATGACTAATTTTAATTGATAAGATGTTTCATCTATCATTTTTGTTTCGAAAATGTTCTTCATTATTGTGCATTTTCTTTTTCTAATTGTAATGAGGTATTAACAACTTTTCCGCGAACTGTTTCATTGAGTACACTCCAGACATTTTCTGTTCTTTATACATCAGTAAATTAAACATCGCTATTTACTGATTCTATACGTTCATTAAATAATTGTGCTACAAATCGTGCGATCAATACCCTATATTATTTTGAGACAATTTGGATTCAATACAAACTATTTACAATCTTTTCTTTTTTCGTAACTAATGAATATTTAAGATAGAAACTTGTCCTTAAATCTAAAAGATTCTAGATATCAATGCATTTCTATAGAGGTAAAATAATTCTTAACTGCTCTGTCATTATTGACTACGTAGCAAAAATATCTAATACAACAATTTATATAATTCAGCACTAATTTTAGCTAGAGAGCTACAACTTTGGAAAATTAAAGGTTATAGTTAGATATATATATATATGATAAAAATTTCAACCTTCTGCCTCAAGAAAAACTATAAAAAATATCGTTGATAATTTATCTTCAGTTATAATGGTGCACTCTTAATCCCACTAAAATATTATGGTTCCGACTTTTTTTTCTGTTTCTTTATGATTTACGTATTTTCAAAATATGATTTTGTCTTAAAAAGAAACACAAATTTTATTGTGCTGTTTCTTTATATGAATACAATCGTGTTGAAATGAAAAATTAATCAACAACAAAAACCGAAATTTTATTTTTAATTACAAGGCATTATGGTGTTTTGCTTCTCTATGGTCAACATTTAGCAATAAATCATTTGGTTGGTCAAAATCAAATACGCATTAAAATTGGTGCCGATCTTCTTGATCAATCTACAACAGATGCTACTACACCATATGTTCAACAAGGTATTCGTCTTAATCTTCATTGTTGGCATACAGATAATCGTTTTTCTAAATTTGCATTTAAACTTGGTCATTATAAACAAACGGAATTAGAAAAATACCGGAATGATACTACGGCTCAAGCTTATGTAAAAACAAAACTTTTTTATTTATTTGAACTCTTCGTTTTTGTTTTCTGTTCCAGGCAATGCGAATGGCACTTGAATCCAAATATATGACACTTGAACAAATGGCAAAATTAGTACAAAGTGCTTCTTCATCATCCTAAGCAACATTTAACTATTTTCTTGTTGTCTTGTTTTAA